TAACATGTATGAATGTTTTTTCTATATGTATGCCTGTACGCAACATGCATGCAGTGCCCACAGATGCCAGAAGAGGGCATCCGATACTCTGAGACTGCTGAAACTGTACTTTTGTGATCTGCCATGTGGTTGCTGGGAATTAAACCTGGGTGTTCTTGAAGAGCTCTTAACTGCTGAGCCATCTTTCCAGCCCTTTACTGGTCCATCTTGATTATCAACTTGGTTGGATTTGGAGTCAGCTAAGAGAATAGTCTGTGGGGTACTTCCAAGAACAACTAACTAAGAAGAGAAATCCCTCCCTCAAAGTGGGCAACACTTCCCAGAGGAAGCCATTTATAAAGAAGGCTGAAGGGAAGCAGAGAGAGCAGGCATGGTGGGGCAATCCACAGACCCAGAGAGGTTAGGTAAACAGGAGGGCTCTAGGGGAGATGCATGGATCTCCCTGGGAAAGGGAAACAGAAAAGATTTTGTGAGCAGACTGGGAGCAGATGAGGATGGGTGGCAGAGTGCAGATGGGGATGGGGTGGGGGAAGGGCAGCAGGAGAGAGTACAACTGGAATTGGGGAAGCTATGTGGAAACCTAGTCAAATTTAAACAATATTTATCCACAAATCCAGCCCTACAGAAGATAATACAAGGAAAGCTTCAACCCAAGGAAGAAAACTACACCCATGAAAACACAGGAAATAATTAATCTTACACCAGCAAAACCAAAGGAAGGGAAGTGCGCACGCACACACACCACCACCACTACCAACAACAACAACAGGAATTATCATTTGTCATTGATATCTCTCATTATCAATGGACTCAGTCGCCTAATAAAAAGACACAAGCTAACAGAATAGATGAAAAAACAGGATCCAGCCTTCTGCTGCATGTAAGAAACATATCTCAACATCAAACGTATCTCAGTATTACCTCAGAGTAAAGGTTGGGAAATGATCTCCCAAGCAAATGGACCTAAGAAGCAAGCTAGTATCTGATACCTAATGGATGAATTATGAAGTAAAAACTTCCTGGAACCTCTGGGGATGACCCTAGTGAGGAATTCCTAGTAATGGAGGATATGGAGACTGAACTAGACATCTTCTGTAACTAGGCAAGGCCTCCAGTGGTGCTTCTGGGACACTAACCCAGCCACAAAACCTTCCACCTACATTCTATTCTGTCTGCACTATGTACTGGGGCAATGGTGGCTAAGAGCTTGTGGAAGTGGCAAGCCAATGACTGGTCTAACTTGAAGACCACACCAGGACAGTAAGCCCATGACTTAAACCATCCAGGATGGCCAGGAACCAGAGACTATATAGCCCAGAGACTTAAGATGGAATCAAATAGACTGGCCAAAAAGAAAATCATTGAAGTGATTCCTAATGAGATTCCACTACACTTATAGATTGGTGCCCAGCCCAATCATCATTAGAGTCTTCCTTTGGCAGTTGTTGGGAGCAGATGCAGAGACCCACAGCCAAACATTAGGCAGAGCTCAAAGTACCCCAGAGAAAAAGGGAGGAAGGACTATAGAAGCCAGAGGGGGCCAAGTACACCAGAAAAACACAGCCCACAGCTTATCAACTAAGCAGGGCTCTTGGGAGCTCATGGGGACTTAAGTGGCAATCATGGAGCTTCCGTGGGTCTGTGCTAGGTCCTTGCATATAGGTGGTGGTTTAGCTTGGGGTTTTCTGGGACTCCTAACAGTCAGAGTAAGAGTGTCTCTGACGCTTTTGCCTGCTTTTGGGACCCTTTTCCTCCTACTGGGTTGTTTCATCCAGCCTTGATGTGAGGGTTTGTGCCTAGTTTTATTGCATCTTCTTATGTTATATTTGGTTAATATCCCTGGGAGGTCTTCTCTTTTCTAAAAGGAAATGGCAGTGTAGTAGATCTGGGAAGTGAGTCTGGGAGGAGTGAAGGTAGGCGAGGCTATTGTATGTTGAGATGTATTGTATGAAAGAAGAACGAATGAGTGAATGAATGAATGAATGAATGAATAAATTAAATAAATAAATAACAAAAAATGTGTGACTCTTTTAGGATAACAGTATGGGTCTGATATTCAGATTATTGATTATTTTCACAAACAGTTAAATAAAATTATCCTAAGATAGCCTTCTCATTTGGAGGCTCTTCTGGGGGCTGGTCTCATGATTTAAGAAACTTTTACATTAGTCCCTTATCTTTACATACATTGTTGTGGAGTATTCTCCAGAGAAGACTGCTAGGACATGGGTTTAAGCCAACAGAAGGTCTTTACTAGCCATTCTGCAACTACACTGGGTGTATGGAACCCAGTGTAGACCTGAGCTTTTAATCACAAAAAAAAAACATGTCCTGGGATGACATAATTCAGTTAACAAGAACAGTTAACCAGAAGCAGAACTACAGGAGACAAAAGGTAAGGTTAGTACATTTAGAGACTTTCCCATAACCATGGACTTTGATGGATTACTTCTCTGTTTTCATTTTGACAGACAGGTGGTGCTGTTTCCGGGCTGAGTTTTACACCTGGATGTTACTTCCATCATGGAGTCAGTTGTGCTACTAAGGTCTGGGGCTCTGATTCAGCAGGCCTATACATCTCATTCTCTAAAACCACTTTTAAGCCACCAAGAAATTTTTGTGATTTTTTTCCCACCCATGTCCAAGCTCTGAGTGTCACTCATTTCAAACCCCTGGTGTGGCTTTTCATCAATTATGTCGCATCTTTCTCCTTATTCCCTCAAAGCCAGAAAATTCTCCTCTCTCAACTGTTCTGAACAGTAAGTCACTCTCCTAATCCTTCCCTAACATCTTTGATTCTCCCTTGACCCTTCGAACCTTTATGTGGTTTATAGAGAAGAGCTCAGTTAAAACTCAGGAAGCCACCCAATCAAGACAATAGCCACCTCTGACTCAGCAACTGGGTCATGCTCCTCCGTCCCAAGGATCATGTCATAACAAGCTGAACTTACCTTATTATCTAGAGCATTAACCTGGACCAAGTATCTGTCTGCAGATATCTATAGAGACTCCAAACATGCCTTCTGTATCATTTAATCCTACATGCAGGGCGGGGATGGGGGAACTAACTGCTAAAGGCTCACCTATCATTAATAGCATCTTAATTTTTAATTATTGCAGGCTACCTCCCCTGCCCCACGGTGAGCAGCTGTTCTTCATTTCCAAGAGCAGGAAGAATTTAATGCTGTCATCATTAGCCTTAGAAATCCTAAGGTTGACAGGGAAACTAAATTCCCGTAAACCTCTCCTCACTGCCCTGTACCTTCTCCTTTCTCATCTGATGATAAAGAAAAACCATCCCTAAAATCAGGGTCGGCTTATTAAAGGTGGAAAAAATAATTTTACCTTGAAAAAATTGCTATTTTAACAACCCTCCACAACCAATTCCCAGGTGGTCTCTAGCAGCCCCTAGTCTCTTCTCACAATTAACTGAAGATTTGTCCCTTATCAGAAATCTCCATTAAGTCACCCAGCCTTGCCTCGAGTGCCCCAGAGACGTATCAGGACCTTGTCTTATTCAATCCATCAAGAGAGAGGTAAGTCTGACTGGGACCAGTAGATTGATTTTACCCATAAACCACCCATCAAAAAGACCAAATATTTACTGGTAATGGTAGAGACATTTTTGAGATGGGTAACAGCTTTTCCATGAGTATCTGAAGGAGCTGATCTGCTGATTAATTAAAGCCACAACCAGGCATGTTATGTCTTGTAGGTGTTATCTATTTCTAAGCCTGTGTGCCTACTTCTTAGTCTCATATGTGCCAGGATATGCCTAGGTGCCTACTGGCATCTACCTGGTGGCTCATGTGCAGATGAATAAAGTATGTCACATCTGCCTAAATAAATGATCCGAGGGAAGTTGGTAGGAAGGGAAGAAGTGAAGGAGAGAGAGGACATGAAAGCTAAACCAGGCCTGGAGACATGGCTCAGTGGTTAACAGTGCTCACTGCTCTCACAGAGAATCTGACTTCCATTCAACCACGTGGCAGCTCATAACCATACTTAACTCTAGTTCCAGTGGATCCAATGCCTGTTTTGGGCCTCTGTGGGCACCAAGAACACACAAGATACATCTACATATGTGTAGGTAAAAACCTTACATATAAAATGTAAAATTTTAAATGTAATTCTTTTAAAATAGGAAGGTAGAATACAGTCTAATTGGTAGGGACAGAGATCATGAATGAGAGTTAGAATAAGACAAGAGAGGATGTCTGGGGGTGGATGTACTTTAAAAACATTAAATACATGTATAAAGTGTCATCATGGAAAATTATTATGTAATTAGAAAGCACAACAAAGTGCCACGGTTTCAATGACTTTCAGTAAAACAGTCATGGCCTCCCAGGGATGGGTATATGTGGACTTTAGGGGTAGGTATAGACCACTGTACAAGAGGAGGAACCTGACTCAAAAAGACAGGAAATTTTGGAGAAAAGGGTATGCTCAGAGGACGCTGTGCTGGCCCATGCTCTCTCTATATCAAAAGCATAGTTCTCAAATATTCAGACCACTCTTCTGTGGGAAGCTCACAATGGACTGACACAACTCATCAGGATGAGGGAAATGGCCCATCTGCCCCTCTGTACTTCTTTCAGGCCCAGTGCTCTTCAGAGCCTATCCTAGTGAGCTGGCTTCCGCAGTTCCAGCTTTCTGTTCCTTGCTTTCAGCCCAACACCCACACTAGGCTTGTGACTCCAAGGACAATAAATGCTATGACTCCAGGTTTGAGCTGAGGGTTGCTGATATCCAGAATAGCTTCTGAAGCTATGCTGTGCCTTGCAAGGCCAAAAAAGGAATACTCACAGCAGAAGAAAGTTTGCCCCGCCTGCTGAGCCCTGGCTCCTACCAGTTCCACCAAGTGAATACAGCTCTCCTGCAACAACTTTGCCCTGCCCACCAAGCTCCCGCCTACAACTCTTTAGGTACAAGTATCTGTCTGGGCAAGGCATTCAGTGGATCCTATAGCAGCACAGAGTCCAGCCCCAGAGCTGATCATGCCGCTGGACACACTATGTGGTTGGTCGACTGCTGTAGCCTGTGGTCTTCTGTTTCTCCTCCATGTGCATGGTGAGACTCCCTACGTTTATGATGGGGACCAAAGTTGCCAGTTTTTTTGCAGAGCCGGAAGCTGAAGCTATGGCAAAGAGGGTGGTAAGGAGGGAGGAGCGGGTAGAGATGACAGAGTGGGAAAGTGGCCTCTGAGCACACAGAGAGTCGGTGATGCCTAAGGAACCAGCTCACTAGGACAAGCTCTGAAGAGCACTAGGCCTGAAAGAAGTACAGAGGGGCAGATGGGCCATTTCCCTCATCTGTATGTGGCTGTGCCTGTGACTGTAGCTGCTATTGTCCCTTGGGTAATAGCAAAAATAATCGCACCTTTATGCTGTCATTTATTTCCAGATGTTTTACCCCCTTGAACAGAAAAGCATCCTGGTATACTCCAAAATGACCCTAGGTCCTCAGTTATACAGTTCTCCAGCCCTACAAATAATTGCCAAACTGAGAGGCCCAGGTTCCCTTGTCTACTTTCTGACCTTTAAAAAAGGCATAACTTGGCTTCCAGGGAAAAGGGCATGTGCTCTGGGCCTGTCACAAAGACTTTGAACTTATAAGAAGATGAGCCAGCAGGATATTGTGCACAAGGTGCCTCTTACCCAAAGGTGATCAAGCGTGAGCCATGCTGATCTCCTGCCAGGCCTCAATCAGATCTACCCTGCGGAGACGATATTGACTTCATACTGTGATTCTTGCCTGGTGTTGTCCAGACTCTGAAATGTCACCAGGACCTTCTGGGCAGGACAATCTTCCCAACTTCCTTTTGGCTTATTTGAACATTCTTGTTTGGGTCCTGGGTTCAGAATTACTAATAACTATAAGAGGGACAGAGTTGTGCCCCTATCTCAACTCACACATGATTAAGAAGAGAGATGTGAGCTGGTATGTTGGCATATCCGTGTAAATAGCATGCTGGATGACACAGAAAAGGCAGAAGGCTTTTCAGTTGCAGGCCAGCCAGGGATACACAGCAAGAACCTGGGAAACATAAAAAAGGTAAATGTAGAGACGTGTAAAAACAGAATTTCATAAAAATTTCAGCATCATTACTAGACAGGGGTGAGGGTAGATCTGGAAATAAATTTGGACAGAAATTCTTAACAAAATCAGGAATTTGAAATGTCATATATATATAGTCAGATGGCAATCCAATCAGTGGCAACTTTTTGATTTTAAACATAACATAGATGATGTTCGCTGAGATTTAATTACAGAGTAATTTTCCACTCCTTTTTTCTTCTCTTCACGGGCCCCCTTTTTGCACATATGGCTGTCATAAAGGCAAGGTGACTCTTGAGAAGGCTACACATATAGTTAGAGATGTGCCATCCTTTCCCCATATGCTATTTACATTAAGAATCTCTGCCTAATAAACTCCAATTCTGCTTCATTTTTAAAAATGTGTGCATAGATTTTTTTTTGCTTGTGTTTTTCCACCTACTGACAAAAAGTGCCCCAATACACGGGGTTCCACGGAGCATCTCTTGGTGGATAAAGCATCCTGGGTGTAGCTTGACTCTTACCAGATTCATTTCAACATGTTTTGTCTGTTGCTGTAGCAGTGACAGTTATTAATGTCCCATTATCTCAGTAAGCTCTATAGACAGTTATGTCGTGTGGCACCATATCCTGTAGACAGCATATTGCAGGAGTTAGGGATGAAAACCTCTGGTCCCTGGGAATGGCTGTTGCCTTGGCTACTTGGTACCACACCAAGTAGCATCAAACATGCAATCCATGTTGATCAGATATGGAAGGTTTTCACTCTTTTTATGAAAATAGGGCAAGTCTGCCAAACTCTGCTACATGGGAACATGATACTGTGGAGACAGTTGCCATGGAGGCAGGAGCTGGTGGAGAAGAGAGAACCCAGCAGCCTAGAGTGGGGTGGAGACATGAGAACTTCACTCAGAGAGCCTCGCTGGATGCCTCCCTATACCCTAGGCTTGGAGAATCAGGTCTTGGTGTAGTGCCCAAGGCCAGACATAGGCTGAGGAAGAGGACCTAGCTCATCATCCATCTTACAAATACAGGGACTCAAACAGCCTAGGTTTACTGGGATTATTAGGTGACTTTCAATCATGTCTTTACTCTCTGATCCCAGCTACAACAGCTCGATCTTTTTAAAATTATAATTTGTTTATGTACATGTACATGTGCCTGTTGTGTATGCCTGTGTGGTGTGTGCAAACTGTATGTAGATGTGTGTGTACCTGTCAAACACAGAGGATGATGTGGGTGTCCCTATCACTCTCTACCTCATTCCCTCCAGGCAGGCTCTCTCAATGGACCTGGTGCCAGCAACCCCCAGGGGTTCCTCTCTCACAGCACTTGAATTGCATCCACTATAAAATATATTGCTAGGAGCGCATAGGGATGGATCCTTGCACCAAGGCCCCTTGGTGAGCCTGGTTAGATACCTGGTGCCTGGCAGTTACCAGTATTTGGAGACCAGGACACTTGGAGAAGGCCGAGCTGAGGCTAACAAGAAAGAAGCAACACTCATAGTTTGAAGGTGGATGATTGGGCAAACCCAACCTTGATATCATATGTCACTCACAGGTGAAGACTCAAACAGCCCCATCAGGACCACCCACACAGGACAGGTTCGAGGCAATCTTGTCCACTTGAATGACACTAGAGTCGGTGTCCACACCTTCCTGGGAATTCCCTTTGCCAAGCCTCCTCTAGACCAGCTGAGATTTGCACCCCCTCAACCTCCTGAACAATGGAGTGGCGTGAGGAGTGGGACCACCTACCCACCCAGGTAAGTCCTCCTGAGACCCAGGGAATTTCGGGCCCTGGAATGGGCAGGAACTCAGGGCTCTGAGCCGGGCTGCAATGCTTTCTCCATCTCAACCCCTCAGCTGCATTCTCCCTGTGATGGGGATATTCTGCCAGTGCCAGAGAGAGGCCAATGTAACAATGGTTTCTTGGCAAAATCACCCTCCACAATCACTGTACCAGCCTATAAATGTCTAAGTACCACTGGCCAAGAAACAAATACATGTCTTCCAAATGGAGATTCTGGAAAAGAAAACAGTTCCTTGAGAGTCTGAACTTGAGAGGAAGGATGTCCCACCACCCTGTATATTAATGCAGCGGCTATCTGGGTACAGCTCTCGATACCAGGCCTCAGAGAGTACAAAGAGAAATGGTATCATCACACACACCAATAGTTTTCACAGATGGAAACATTGATATCCCATTCAAAGGAGAAGCAGGATCCAAAGCCCCCTCCCATCTGACAGCCTCAGGGGAAGTTTGAGATCATACCAGTTTTCCCAGAGCCTGTGACCTTTATCTTGATGGGAAGAGAATTTTGGAGAGGGATCTCATGTTATCAAGACACCACAGGGAAAAGAGTGGTTGTACCTTCTGGATCAACTCAAATCTCACACTACCTACCAGAGGCCTGAGAGCTAAATACTGATGGCTTGGAGCAAATATATACTCAGGGTCTGTTTTTAACCTCTGTGTTTCATCTCTTGGAATTCCTGTCTGTCACTGTCCCTAGGTGTCTACAAAATTCTGAAACCGTGAGTGCAGAGAGTCTGGAGATGATGAAACTGAGCATGCCTCCCATCTCTACTTCTGAGGACTGCCTGTATCTCAACATCTACGCACCAGCCCATGCCCACGAGGGCTCTAACCTGCCTGTGAGTGTCAGGCCGTGGCCTGCTTTGGCATGGGTGGGAGTGCATTTCTTCAAGATGGCTAGATTGGGAAACTCAATGTGAGCCCTGATGAGCTCTCCCTATCATATCCAGGAAGACTTTCTCTGCCTTAGTGCAAACTAAACCTGGTTATGGGACACAGAGATCTAAAGACTCTGAGAAATTAGCAGTTGTGGCTCTTTGATCAACTCAAATTTCACACTACCTACCAGAGGCCTGAGAGCTAAACACTGAGGTCATGCCGATTTATGATCATAGACTACCCATTGTGCCAATGTGGATGTGGTTCTGGTTTGGTTTGGTTTGGTCTGCTCTGCTCTGCTCTGCTCTGCTTTGCGTTTTTGAAAGTGTCTCATTTTGTAGCCCTGGCTGGCCTGGAACTTGCTATGTTCACCAAGTTGGCCTTGAATTCAGAGATCTTTGACATTTGTTTCCAGAGTTCTGATATAGATAATATATTTTATATTTTTATTTATATATTTATAGAATATATAAATTTTAAAATACATTATACATTTTAACATTTATTTTAAAACTTTAAAATATTATTAAATTTATATATAAAATACATATTGTATAATACATATAAATATATTTATATTATTTGTTTATTATATTAAATATATATATATATTTCATTAAAAATAGGTCCCTCTCTCATACAATATATCCTGACCAGTTTCCCCTCCCTCCACTCCTCCCAGCTCCCCTCAGACCCCTTTCCCCCAGATCCTCTCTACCTCCATTTCCTCTTCAGAAAAGAGCAGGCTTCCCAGGGATATCAACCAAATACTGCATAACAAGATGCAATATGACTAGGCACAAACGCCCATATCAAAGCTGGACAAGACAATCCAGTAGGAGTTAAAGACTCCCAAAAGGCAGGCAAAAGAGTCAGAGATATGCCCACCCCCACTGTTAGGAGTACTACAAAACCCCCATGCTAATAACCATAACATATGCACAGAGGACATGGTGCAGACCCATGCAGGCCCTGTGCTTGCTGCTTCAGTCTCTGTGAGCCCATGTGAGCCCTGCTTAGTTCCATTGGTGGGCTACGTCCTGCTGGTGTCCTCCATCCCCTCTGACTCCTATAATCTTTCCTCTCCTTCTTCCACTGGGTTCCCAGATCTCCAAGAGGAGGGATCTGATGGAAACCTCTGATTTAGACTCTCTGCATAGTGTCTGGCTGTGTGTCTCTGCACTCACTCCCATCTGCTGCCAGAGGAAGACTCTCTTATGACAACTGGACAAGGCACTGATCCATAATTATAGCAGAAGATCATTAGAAATCACTTCATTGATATTTATTTATTTATTTATTTATTTATTTATTTATTTAGTGCTCGTCATGTTTGGTTCTCTGGACTATCCAGTCTCTGGTTCCTGGCCATCTATAGGGCATGAGTTCTCGCTCTTAGTGTGGGCCTCATGTTAAACGTGGTCACTCCCACAAGTTCTGAGCTAACATTGTCCCGGCACATTTCGGGCAGAACAGATTATAGGATAAGGTTTTTCTGTGTGGGTTGGTGTCTAAGTTTCTCTTTCCATATCTTACAGAGTACCTACTCGAACCAAAGATACTAGGACATAGGAGTGAAGGCTCCATGCAGGCACCAGCTCACCCTCTCTCCATCCGAGGAACTGAGAGGATATTGTCCTTGGCAATGGTATCCTGCTGTTAGTTTTCAGAGAGCAACTTTCGGTCCTAGCATCAGCATGGGTTGCTTAGGGATCGCTATGGGATCTCTTCAGCCAACAACTCAACCAAATGCAACCCAGTCCCACCCTAGAAGCTTTGCCTGACTACAAAAGAAGTTCAGTTCAGACTCTGTGTCCTCCATTGCTAGGAGTCTTCACTAGGGCCATCCTCATAGATTCTAGGAAGTTCCCACTACACCAGGTTTCCACACCACCACCCCCAATGCTCCCCAATTCCAACTCTCTCCCCATGTTTCCTTCCCACTGGATCCTTACCACTCCTATCCTCACCCATTCTCCAGCCCACCCCCAAAAATCTATTCTATTTCCCTTTCCCAAGGAGGTCCATGCATCTTCTGTTTACCTAGCCTCTCTGGGTCTTGGATTGCAGCTTGATTTTAATTTTCTTAACAGACAATATTCTCTTACAAGTGAATACATGCATATTTGTCTTTCTGGGTCTGGATTACCTCACTCAGAAGAATTTTTTTCTAGTTGCATCCATTTTCATGCAAAGTCCGTGGTGGTGATGGTGTGTGTGTGTGTGTGTGTGCGTGTGTGTTTCCCTTCCTTTGATTTTGCTGCTATGAGATTATGTTCTGTGTTTTCATGGATGCAGTTAACATCCTCAGGTTGGAATTTTCCTTTTATTGTCTTCTGTAGGGCTAGATATGTAGATAGATATTGTTTAAATTTGACTTTATCATGGAATATCTTGCTTTCTTCATCTGTGGTGACTGACAGTTTTGCTGGGTATAGTAGTCTGGGCTGGCATCTGTGGTCTCTTAGAGTCTGGTGAACATCTGTCTAGACCGTTCTGGTTTTTAGAGTCTCCACTGAGAAGTCAGGTGTAATGCTTTTATATGTTATTTGAACTCTTCCTTGCTGCTCTTAATATCTTTTCTTTATTCTATATGGTTAGTGTTGTGATTATTATGTGACAAGCAGACTTTATTTTTTGGCCCAATCTACTTGATGTTCTGTATGCTACTTATACCTTTATAAGTATCTCCTTCTTTAAATTAGGAAATTTTTTTTTCTGATTTTGTTGAAAATATTTTCTGGGTTTTTGAGCTGAGAATCTTGCCTTCTATTTCTACTGTTCTTAGGTTTGGTCTTTTCCTAGTGTCCCAGATTTTCTGGATGTTTTATGTCAGTAACTTTTTTTTTAATTTAACATTTCCCTTGACTGCTGTATTCATTTCTTTCACTGTGCCTTTAATGCCTGAGATTCTCTCTTCCGTCTCTTATATGATGTTGTTGAAGCTCGCCTCTGTGGTTCCTGTTTGCATTCCTACATTTTGCAGGATTCCCTCAGTTTGTGTTTTCTTTATTGTTTCTATTTCCATTTTCAGGTCTTGAACAGTTTTATTTCTTTTCTTCAACTGTTTGTTTCCTCTTGGCTTTCTTTAAGATTTATTCATTTACTCCGATTGTTTGCTCCTGTTTTCCTGGATTTCTTTAAGGGATTTATACATTTCCTCTTTACAGAACTCTATCTTCTTCATAAAGTTGGTTTCAAGGTCTTCTTCCACGTGTTTCAGCTATGTTGGGATATTCAGGACCTGCATTGGGAGGATAGCTGGGCTCTAGTGGAGACATATAGCCCTGGCTGTCATTGCGTTCTTACACTGGTGTCTAGGCATCTGGTTTGGGGGTGATTATAGGTCTAGGTACTGATTTCTGGATTTGTTTTTGTTTGGTGGTCTTTGTTTTCCTTGGTTTCTGCTCCCGTCCCTGGATTTTCAGATAGTGTGTGGCTGTGTGCATTTACTGGTGTGCTCAGCTGGTGCTAGAGGCTTGGGAAAGGGGTGGCCAGGGGGAGATGGTCTGTTACAGTTCTAGGGGTGACTCTGAGAATTGGGTCTAGGGGAACAGAGAGAGTGAAAATCTACAGGCAAACTACCTGGTCATCTGGTAGGCTTTACTGGTGGTTGCCCCTGAGTTGGCGGTTGGGTCCCAGGGATGAGGAAACGAGGGAAGGTCATGAGGAATGGTCTGAAGGATCCACAGGAGATGAAGACAGGGGATGAGAAACTGCAGCTAGTGTTCTGTTGGAGCTCTAGAAGTAACCCTGAGAATTGGATCTGGGACAGAGAAGTGGAAAAAGAAGGTGCATGGGCAGCCTGTCTGGTCCCAAGGTTCTGGTATTAAAAGCACATATCATGTAACCAACTATGTGCCAATGTTTTTTTTTTATTAATAAAGAGACATTGATTATTTTATTTCATTTCAGAGGAGTCTGAGAGCAGTGATGTTGCTGCTCCAGATTTAGAGCCATTAATACAGGCTTAGGTTCTGAGAGAGGCAGGCAGGCTAGCAAGTATACTGACGGAGCCAGGGCTCTGTCTGTGGCCCCAGTGAGGACATCCTGAGGGAGATGTGTCTATGTGTCTAGGAACACTGAGACAAAGCATTCGGTAAAACCTGAGCTCCAGGTGGAGCATGAGCTGGGTGGGAACCTCCTAGCTTCTGACTTGATCTCCACAGGTGATGGTGTGGATCCATGGTGGCGCACTGGTTATGGGCATGGCTTCCATTCATGATGCATCCATGCTGGCAGCCATTGAAGATGTGGTGGTGGTCACTATCCAGTACCGCCTGGGTATCCTGGGCTTCTTCAGGTGAGTCTGGGGCTGGCCTGTGCTGTACAGTAGTGGATGAACAGAAATAAGAAAGCCCTGTGATTCTTTCTTTCCCTGCCACTTCTCAGCACTGGAGATGAGCATGCTAGAGGAAACTGGGGCTATCTGGACCAAGTGGCCGCCCTACGCTGGGTTCAGCAGAACATCGCCCACTTTGGAGGCAACCCTGACCATGTCACCATTTTTGGCGAGTCTGCAGGTGGCACAAGTGTGTCTTCACATGTTGTGTCCCCCATGTCCCAGGGGCTCTTCCATGGAGCCATCATGGAGAGTGGGGTGGCCCTGCTGCCTGACCTTATCTCCAACACCTCTGAGGTGGTCTACACAGTGAGTTACCTCAGCCATCCTATCAATAACCCTACAGCTTCAGGCCTCACCTTCTGATACTATGGAAGTCTGTTCAGTGGTGCATAAAGGAGCATAGGAAATAGCTCCTTTCTAGTACTTTCTGGGAGACACGAGGGTTAGAATCCACTTCTTTCTGATTTATACAAATTGAGTGTAATAAGCATATATAAGCATCTTATGGCTTCCATTATCCATCAAAAACAAACATGCATGATCTGAAGATATTGTTCAATAGATAAAAACACTTGCCTTGTTAATAAGCATAAGGATCTGAGCTCAAATCCCCCAGAAAACACACAAAGCTGAATGTGGTAACAAGGTTGTAATCCTAGTCTTCCAATGGTAAGATAGGAGACAGAGGCCGGAAAAATCCCTGGAAGGTCACAAGCAAGATAGACTCTTGTAGGCAGGTCTTATAAAGGACATTTTCTCAAACAAGACAGAAGGTGAGAACTAGCAACCAAACAGCACCGACTGATCTTTGCACACCATGGTACAGGCACTCCCAAAATCACACATGAACATACACATAGCTTATTTTTAAATATGCTTAGGTAGAATGACCCCTCTGGCTGTCACATCTGAGGAACAAGAAAATGGGAATTTCATACTTACTCTAATCTACACAGCACAGAGATACATGGGCACAGTGGTAGCTAATTGGGATTAGGAAAACTCTTCTCCTTGCCTACTAAGATGAACCAACTCCTGCCTGGTCCATTTGCAGACAGTAGCCATCTTATCTGGTTGTGAGACCATGGACTCAGAGACCCTGGTGCGCTGTCTGAGAAACAAGAGTGAAGAGGAAATTCTGGCTATTAATGAGGTTGGGAGAATTGTGTGTCTTGGAGGACCTGGGGTATAGGATTTAGGAGTTGGTCCCTACTACTCTAAACAAATTACCTCTGTTCCATGGTTTGATATCCTTTTAATCCTGTGTGTATAATGAACACCAAGATATCCTAATGTTGAGGTTAATATTTAGAACGGCACTCCCAATCTGGCTTGGTCTTATGGGGCCACCATGTTCCCAACTAGACAAGACCTGAGGCCAAGAGTGGCGGTGTGCTCTCGCCACAGCTTGTCTCAGACTGGCCAGATGCACCGGCCCTGACACTCATGAGACACCAGTGTGGGAGATGGCTCTGCCAATCTACCGTGCTGTCTCCTCAGAGCTTGGCTGAACCCCAGACAATACCCACCATCCATGCAGTACCTGGTAGAAATAAAATTCTAAAGCTTAATTATTATCCAAAGGCTTTATACATTTAGAAATGTTCAATTAACAAGATGCCCACAAAATTTGAGTTGTTGCCCAATACCTAACCTTAAATAAAATTTGTTACCCAGGACTGTTCTTGATGCATATATGGTTCTCCATAGCTCCTACATCTCTCCTTCTCCTCTAGCTCCACTTCTTCCTTCTCCTCTTCCTCTCCTTACTCCTCCCATATTAGCTCCTCCCAAATTACTGAGTTTATTGTAAAATGTAGCAGGGGAAATATCCAGCTACATTCTAATATATGGAGAATCTCTGTCAGGGGTAGAGGAGTATCCTGAGACAAAGAAAGGGGGTAATGGTTAAGTTTTCTCAGTAGATAACAGAATATATATGGATTTGACCTTCATCACTGACCATGGATGTTCCTCAGGTCTTCAAGATAATCCCTGCTGTGGTGGATGGGGAGTTCCTACCCAATCACCCCCAAGAGTTGTTGACTTCTGTGGACTTTCACCCTGTCCCCAGCATCATTGGTGTCAACAATGATGAATACGGTTGGCTTCTCCCCATGGTGAGGCACAATTCCAATTCTCTAGAAGTCCGGAGACTCATATGTTGGGCAGTGGAAGACTGATCCATATCCATCCACCTTACACTAAAACTGTCCTCTGTCTCCCAGATTCTGGGCTCTGATCAGACTATAAACAAAATAACCAGAGAGACCCTGCAGGCTGTTCTGAAGAATACAACAACACAAATGGTGAGACATTTTGAGTACTGCCTCCAGTAGAAAGGACCTCTACATAGATAGCATACCTAGAAACAAAGGTTTGTGTATGTGTGGTTATGGGTGGGCTCCTCCAAGAACTTACACCTTCCCCGAATACCCTGTCTCATCCCCAAACACATTCTTCACACCAAGGCTGCTACCTGTCAAAACAAGAACCTGTCTAACCTCATTCTTCCTGATCTTGGTATAGATGCTACCTCCTGAGTGTAGTGACCTACTAATGGAAGAGTACATGGGGAACACTGAAGACACCGAGACCCTCCAAGCACAGTTCAGAGAGATGATGGGAGACTTCATGTTCATTATCCCTGCACTCCAAGTAGCACATTTTCAGCGTGAGTACACATGTAATGGAGACAGGGGGCTCAAAGCCATGGGTTCTAGAAGAACTCTGGTGTCAGTATTTCTTCCTTCTAGTATAAGAGAACAACATCTTATCCAGGTACAGGTAAGCAAACAGGTTTCTGTTACTCTATTGATTTGCCAAAACTATTCATCTGGGAAGGTCATGGTCACTGTTTATCCAAGCACTTTCCCATAACTAGTGCTCAGCATGGAACCACCCATTTGACAACTGTGACGCTAGATACCTTGTGACAATGTACCTTGTCACCAAGGGTTAGGCAGGATAGTTCCAGGTAAAAGAATGTCGTGTCACCATGTGTCCTCACCTCTAGGCTCCCATGCCCCTGTCTACTTTTATGAGTTCTGTCATGAGGCCAACTATCTCAAAGATGTCAGACCACCCCATGTGAAAGCTGACCATGGAGATGAAGTTCCCTTTGTCTTTGGGAACTCCTTCTGGGGCATGAAACGTGAGTTTGTCTTGTTTTCTATGAGCTGAATGAGGTCCCAGGCGGGTACCTGAGGGTACATGAGCTTCTAGTCCAGTTGAGAAAATCAAGCTCTGAGAGAAGACATAATCAAGACATTTCCTGCTTAAAAGTCACACCCAGATTAGAATCTGGATGCTTTCAAGTATAACTTATTATTACATTAGTTACTTTTCTATTGCTGTGATGAGACACTATTACAAAGGCAACTTATAGAAGAAAGAGAGAATGTATTGGAACTTTTGGTTTCAAATGGATAGTTAGAGTTCATGGTTATCATGGATGGAGTAATGTCAGCATACAGTCAGGAAGGACACTGGAGTAATGCTAAATGCTTAAATCTTGATCTATAAGCACAAGGCAGGAAGGAAAGAGGGAGAGGGGGAGGGGAGGGAGAGGGAGAGGGAGAGGGAGAGGGAGAGGGAGAGGGAGAGGGAGAGGGAGAGAGAGAGGGAGAGGGAGAGGGAGAGAGCTAGAATAGTGGACTTTTTAAACCTCAAAGCCAACTTCCAGTGACACACCTCCTCCAACAAGGCCACACCTCCTAATTCTTCCCAAACAGTTCCACTAACTGGGACCAAGCATACAAATATGTGAGCCTGCAGAAATCAAAACATTCAAGCCACCACATTTACACTAGAGGGAATGAGGACACACTGGAGCAGAAATGAACATGGAGGAATTCAATTAGAGGTGTGGGTGGCTCTTGGATCCTGGGTGGTAAAGGGAGAAAGGAAAGAGACCTAGAGTTCAGGGTCGGGCTGCCGTAAGAATTGAGATTGTGGAGCATAAGTAGGCAGCTGCAACAGGTGACTGGGACCTGGACCTTTGTCTACCCATTGGCTACAGTTGACCTCACTGTGGAGGAGAAGCTGCTGAGCAGAAGGATGATGAAGTACTGGGCCAACTTTGCACGACATGGGTGAGAACACTCTCTTCCCCCAAGCTCCCTAGTGGTGTATCCCTATCTATGGTTCCATTTGCGATTGATAGCCTCATTAACATGCATGGATAATTCATCATCACATGGTAGAGTCCTCCTCACCCCAGGGCACACTTAGATATATTGTACCTATTGGTTATTGATCAGACTGCAGTGACCTGGCAGGTGCTATGGTACTGTTCTTTAGATTTTCTATCTGAGATGGAGACACAGAACTGGTCAGGTAGCCTTGCTCCAGATGGAACATACACTAGCGGGTGATACTTGTATCCCTGTACAAGCACACATCCTCCATCAGACTCCTCAACCCTTGACCTAATTGGTCCACTGACCTGACACAAATTAGTAGACTGGGCCTTGGATGAGAGTGACTTTCACTTTCTATGCTGGCTGGCATATCCACAGGAACCCCAACAGTGAGGGTCTACCCCACTGGCCCGTGTTTGACCATGATGAGCAGTATCTGAAGCTGGACACCCAGCCTGCTGTGGGCCAATCCCTGAAGGCCAGAAGGCTGAAGTTCTGGACCAGGACTCTACCCCAGAAGATCCAGGAGCTAAAAGGCTCTCAGGAAAATCACAAAGAGCTGTAGTGTCCTGTGAGAGAAATGGTGTGTAGGCCTGGGTAGATTTGGGGTCAGCCTAACATTATTAAAGCCCATTCAGAATCTTGTTAGAATCTAACAATAACATAATCATCCCTAACCTCTAAAGTTGTCCATTTGGCCAACACATATGACAAACTGTTGGTGTGTCACTCATTACTCAACATGTCGGGACACTTCTTATGAGACCCATTCAGTAAATGTCCCATGATTGTATAGATGTGTGATCCCCTAAGTGTCCCAGTCTTCTTTCACATTCCACTAGGACAAGGCTCCCTCCATCCTCTCCTCATCTCTCATCCTCTCCTCATCTCCAAGCCCCAGATCCTCTTCAAATAAAACAGAAGCTTTGGAAATATTAACTACATGTGGGTAGGCTATGTGAAAATCCCACTTTCTCTCTCAGCAAGGTTCGTGTCTTTCTTATTTGCAAGTAGCCAATAAAGAAACCTAATGATCCAAAGTTCTGTTGTCTTCACATGTTCAAGTTGCTGTTCTAGAAGTCCACAAATTGCAAATTGAGCTCTGCAGTAGGTATCTGTGGCCCCTTCTATTCAGAGACTGAGACAAGAGGCGTACATGAGCCCAGCAGTTTCCAGTCAGCCTAAGCAACATAGTAAGACCAACATCTCTTTTAAAAATTGTAAGCTAGATAACATACAAATAGCAGACATTTATAGACATTTTTATAAACCAAGAAATCCAAGGTCAAATGCCATCAGACTTCTGTGTGGTGAGAGTTGGGTCTCTGACTCAAAAGAGTTCACACTGTGTCCTCACTGGCTAGAATGGACAAAAATGGTACTCTTGATCTTTCTGGCTCTTCACAACTCTTAATAGCATTGGATTATAAATTAGATTTCAGCAAGTAAATCTGATCCCGTGGCTTTCAGATTGTAGCTCATAGAGACCTCTGACATCCACCACTAAAGATGCCAATTGATGAAAAAATCCCTACATGTTGTCCCTGCATATGAAATCTTATTTGTTTATTTTACAAATGCCTGCAGAAGCAAGACTAGGCATGCTTATGCCGCTCTCAAGCTGGATCAGGAGTTAGGGAGTTGACCAGAGGAGCTTCCCAGTGTCCTGTTTCTTGAGGTTTGCTCTTCATATCAGGAGTTCTGCATATGGTGTGGAGCCCACACTTGCATGAGTCTGCCGCCTCTGTGAAGATGTTTGTCTTTGAGGTGTGTCCTAGAAATGGGAAGTGTACATCAATAGAGATCCCTGACCCTGGCACCCTGAGCAAGCTTCTCCTTGTATGGAAGTGACTTTCTGCCCTTCCTGACTCCTTGATCATCATCCCCTAATCTTCTTGATAGCCCATGTGATTGATTCCTTTAAACGTTTCAATCCCAGCAGTATAAACTCTCTTCAACTCTGCCGTTTTACAAAGGTACCAAATTCTGCTTGCTCTATCTACACTTTGGCTCCCCTAAAGGACTTTCTCTGTCATTAAGGACAAGTGTCTTATGTCCTATAGGTCTGGGACTAACCCATCCCTCTACCTTTCATCAACTTGCCCTCCTAGGGCCAGTTTCCCCAGGGCAAAGTCTCCCTTTCTCAACCACTGCACTGATTATCAATCATAGTGTACCATGAAGAGTTCTGTGTTGACTGCCCAGGACACCAGGGAGTAGATGAGGTTAATGTTGAGCCTTAAGAAGCAGCGCAGAGGGATACTCTCACTGGAGCCTTAATGTATTATTGAGTTCCTGGTGAGACCAGTAGTTGGCTGGACCCCCACTAGGCAGTTAGATTGGAGCTTCAACCCTGAAGGCTTTCATTGCTGAAAGCTTGGCTTCAGCTGACAGCCACTCACCCAATGCAGCTGGAGACTTTCCTGGTTCCTAGAGGGAAAAAAAACCAGAGGCAGACACCCAGCAGCTCATGCTGTTTCCCCTGAATCCCCCTCCTCTTTGTAAAGCACTTTTTATACCCAAAGCAAACAGGGCATGGTAAATGACTCTCTGGGCCCTTCCTGTCAGGTGGGAGCCCTGGTGACCTGTTCAGAGGTGTCACAGTCCCTTTGTGCTGCCCTAACTCTCAGGTGCTCTCTTCTCCCTGGTGATAAACTTTAACTCTCACCCTCATTAGGGGTCTGTGGGGTTCATTTGTGAAGCAGGAGCCAGCACTGGCCTCTCACTGATCCTTCAGCACCTTGGTGCCAAGACCAAGCCTCCAGCTTGTTTTGACAAGACTCTGATTCCGTGGCAGCGAAGGGCATCACTGAGTCTTACTGCTGTAAACCCATTGCCATGTGGCTTTCAGTTCTCTGAAATACAGGACACTTCACCAACAGCAATCTCAATGCACTTTTTAGACTTTCAGTAGTTGCTATAGTTTGAATTTACAATTTCTACAGGCTCATGTTGTTGGGTTCGGGATGGAAGCGAAGAAAACTTACAGATGAGGAAGCCAAAAAATGAGAGCTTTATTTTCTGAGTGCTCAGGGAGGCAGGCAGCCAGTACGGGATCTGAACCGTGTCCTCAAAGGGAGATTGTGCAACATTTTTATAGGATGGGAACACAAAGCAAGGAGGAAGGGTCAGTGTTATCCAATTGTATCTTGACGTTATGTGTTAAACCTGTTGGAGACTGGGTGGTATCCAGGGCATTGGCTTCAAGGTCCTGAGTTCATTATCCTAGATATTAGGTCCAGAGCTCAGCGTGATAAGGAGACAAAGAGGTGGGTCATTCCCAAGCCTGGGAACATGAACTTGTTTCACCCTGCCAGCAAGATGGAGAAGTTGTCGTTGAGGTGTCTGTACTTAGACAACTGTTTACAACAGAAGCTGTTCAGCTATAGGGAAGTCCCCAGCTCCCCTAGGGCCTGGGACCTTGAATTTAGTTTTCCCCCTATGATTACATAGTCTGAATATAAAATGGTCGTACTTAGAATAAGTTTCTTTTGAGTGCTTGGTCCATAACTAGGGGAAGATTTTAAAGGCTGGGTCCTTTAGGAGGTAGGGCCTAACTAGAAGAATTACTAGGGGTGGCCATGCACTGATATCCCAATTGCAGATATTCACCTGGACTTTTATTTTATTTGTATTATTGTTGTTTTATGGTTGTCACTGTTTACTATGATGTGTGACCATGATGTAACCAAACTCGGGATCCACCTGCCTCGACTTCCCAAGTTCTGGGACTAATTGTGTTAGTCAACATTTCTGCTCTCTCTGAACTCTTTTTATTCTCTCTCTCTCTCTTTCTCTCTCTCTCTCTCTCTTTCTGTGCATGTGCGTGTGCGTGTGCGTGTGTGTGTCCATACACACATACAGAAATATCCCTGAAACCAAAGAAGGATCCATGCAGGTTTTCACACCATAACTACTGGGATTAAGGAACCAAGGCAGGGGAAACAAGTAAATCATGAGTCCGGAAACTAAGGAGGAGTTTTCAGGATGAAAGGAACAGTCATAGCTTCATGTATTCACACTCCCAGTTTCCTTTACCCCACAATAGGTGTGGTCATTCTCTAATGTGGGTCACTGAGGGTGTGTCTCTTCAGAGAAGCTCTCCGTCTTCTCCAGTTTCAGCTTTCTGCTGTCTTCTCATCCATGACACCTTCTTTGGACCTGTGACTGTCATGTCCATACACTTAGTGGCTGAGGATTTCAGGTGCAGGTCCCTGTATTTAAGGGGCTGCAGATGCCACATAGCACCTTCAGAGGAGGCCAAAAGAAACACAGAAAGTGGAGAGGTGTCCATAGTCCCTGTCTGCTGATTTTGGCTTTCACAAGCCCAAGTCTGCTCAGAGTCATTCTCCTGCAGTACCTACCCTGCCAGGCCCCACCCAGAGCCCTGCCCACACTCTGCAGGGTCCAAACTCCAGCTCTAGTCCTCGGGTGCCTTCTGGTAAAGCCTGACCTGCACTACGGAAGTTCAGACACACGCCTGTGGACCAACCATGGGACTGGAACAAATTCATGCTCAGCTAACCACCGCGGCCTGTGGGCTCCTGCTTCTCCTCCAGGTCCAGGGTGAGGCTCTCATGGGAGTGACAGGGAACCATGTCAGAGCTGCCAAACTGTGCAGAGACTAAGGGAGAGTAAGGAAGTAAATGGGCAAGGAAGGGCTGAAATGGTGGAGTTCATCACTCACTTGTATGATGCTCCACGAGTGTCAAGGTGGGCCATCTGAAGCTAAGAGCATAGTGGCTACCTAAGGATGCTTGCTTTCGAGGATGGTGCTGAAAAGGAGGGAGTTTTGAGGAATGGCAGATTAACAAGACCAGACAGAAAGCAGTCTCAAGATAGTGACTCAGGACATTCCCTGTAACTGGGGCAATACGCAGGTACTAAACAACACGACAATACCCTCTGTGGCCATTTGACTCTGGTATATCATTTTCCTGGTCAGAGCATTAGTATGGCTTTCTCGGAGGTACTCAAGTAAGAGTACTTACTCTTGGGGAATAAAGGAATGCAGTCCTGCAGCTGAAATTGGTGCTGAAAGGTCACAGGATGCCTTTTACATCAACTATCTGGCCAGGCTGAGGCAGTGGCATGACTCAGCTGATAGGGGGATGGGAAGAGCACTCTGTGCCTGCCACGCAGTTTCTACCTTATTTGGAGTTAAGTGGGCAGAATGTCTGAGCATGTCCCTCCATCTCTATCCTCTCAAGGGACCCTCCTGAAGGCCCTAATTCTTGCCACCCATTCCCACTCTGCCCAGAAGGAAGGCCACTTGCCTATCCTTCATGCCTTACCTTCAGTGGCCTTTTCCCTCATATGATTTGATACTACTCCAGGACCCTCCAGGCAAGAGACTCTCTAATGACTCCCCTTTTAAATGGTCCTTGGCTTGAGCCCATATCAGAAAGCATCATTAACAAGTCTGAGGAGAGCACAAATACAGATCCTTCCTCTTCTGTCTCATCTGCTCCTGGTTCTTCCATGGAAAATATCAAGGTCCCTGGGACTTACATACAGGGCTCAGGAAATTTATCTAAGAATGGATGAAGTCTCTGGCCCTTACTTACAACCAAAATAATTACAGATTCCCTTCATTTCTGTCACCACAATTTAACACTGCCTAACCCAGAGATCACCTCACAGTACTACAAGTTAGGATCTCTAATACCACTCAATAGAAGGCTTTGCTGTGAAAGTAATCAGTTAATTTTACAAGTCTAAGGTCATGGATATTATATCATATTCTTATCGATTTCTATAACAAGCACAGCATGAGGCCTCCATGGCTGGTAAACAGAGTTAAATCTCATGGATAGAGATCTCATTCCTCATAAAACCCTGCGTGGACAGCATGTGACAGGGAAGGGGAGTGTACCTTTTCATGTGGAAATCTCAGTGGGTTGGATCGCTGTGCCAAAATATCTGAAGCCTCAGAATGGTCAAGGAAGTGGTGTTGCTAAGCTCGCAGTTGAGAGTTTGAAAATCCAAGATCCGGTGGCTCACTCCAGCGAGGCTACGTGGAGGTCTTCTAACTATGTCACAACACACTGATGGCATTTCAGAGTAGGGATGTGTAGGAGAGAGTGTGCATGGTGAAAGAAACAATATGCCCTGGCAATGGCCATAGTCACTCTTGTCTGACAGCTGTCTCTCTCTCTCTCCCTCTCTCTCTCTCTCTCTCTCTCTCTCTCTCTCTCTCTCTCTCTCTCTCTCTCTCTCTCTCTCTTACTACAAGACCTAACCTGCTTCAAAACTCCAGCAGTAATCTCTGTATGAGGGCACCCATGACTCAGGCACCTCCACTAGACACTGTTTCTTAAAGGCTCCGCTACCTCAACAGCAGCACCCTAGGGTAAGCATCCAGTATAGGAACCTTTGGTAGACAAAAAGACCCATGTCACAGCATTCTGCCCCAGCCCTCTTCTCAGAGTACAAAATATGTCCATACCATGCCTTTGGTCCCTTAACTCCACTGGACATAATTCCAAAGTCCTAAGTCCCACCTGAAATTCAAGGAAAATTTCTTCTAGCTGGGAATCTCCAAAAAACAAGTTTGATAGTTTAAAAATTAATGTTGAAACAGATGCAGAGTAACCATTCTATGTGCCGATTGGTTTTTGTCAGCCTAACACAATTCTACAGATATCTGGGAAAAGGAAATCTAAACTGAGAAATGAATCCCAGCAGATTGGCATATAGACAAGTCTGTGGGAGCATTTTCTTGATTAATGATTAATGTGGGAGAGTCTAGCTCATTATGAGAACTGTCTCCCCTGAGCAGGTGGTTCTTTATTATATTTAAGAAAGCAGGCTATGCAAAGCATGGACAATAAGCCTGTGGATGGCATTCCTGCAGAGCAGTGATTCTCAACCTTCCTAACACTGGGGCCCTTGAATATGATCCTCATGGTGTGATGATCCCCAACCAAAAAAGTATCTTTTTTTCTGCTTCATAACTATAATTTTGCTACTGTTATGATTGCATTGGTGTTTTGCCTGCATCTATGTCTTTGTGAGGGTGTCAGATCCCCTGGAACTGGTGTTACAGGCAGGTGTGAGATTCCATGTGTGTGCTGAGAATTGAACCCTGGTCCTCATGGAGAGCAGCCAGTGCTCGTAACCACTGAGCCATCTCTCCAGTCCCAACATCTTTTTCCTCCTTTTTTGAGACAGAGTTTCTCTTTGTAGCCCTGGCTGTCCTGGAACTCATTCTGTAGACCAGGCTGGCCTTGAACTCAGAAATCCACCTGCCTCTGCCTCCTCAGTGCTGGGATTAAAGGTGCATGCTACTACCACCCAGCAAGCCTTCACATTCTTACAGAAAAACCTTTTTGCTTTTAATATAAACATGATGTAAATTTTCAGATTTCTTAACTGCTGAGCCATCTCTCCAGCCCAAAAATATACTTTTTTCATGCAATGTATTCTGATTATGGTTTTCCTCTCCTAACTCCTCCAAGATCCTCCCTATCCACCCAAATCCATACTCTTTTGCTCTATAACATTAGAAAACAAACAGGCATGTGATGATGATGATGACGATGACAAACCTGAATAGACAAAACTAACTAACAGGAAAAAGGAGCCAAAGAAGTACATAACACACAACACATATTGACACAGAGACACAGGTATTCAAATTCACAGAAACCCCATAAAAGCACAAAACTGGAAACTACAATTTATAAGCAAAACATCTATACAAGTCACATACACACACACACACACACACACACAGCACAAAGCATTATGAGGGGGGAAAAAACTCCAAAAATGCTGTTGAATTCATTTTTTACTGACCATAGTGTGGTTTGTATGCCCAGTGATACTTCATTAGAGAAAACTGACTTTTCTTTTGTGAGTGCTTATCAACTTGACATAGTTTCTGGGTTGACCTGTGGCGTTGACCTGTGCATGCTGCCACCATCTCTATGAGTTCATTTGTGTGTCAGCCCTGTTGTGTCTCGAAGGACTTGTTTCCTTGGTGTCTTTTACCACCGCTGGCTCTTACAATCTTTCACCTCCTCTCCTGCAGAGTTTCCTAAGCCCCGAGGGGAGGGATTTGATGGAGACATGCCATTCAGGACTGAACGCTCAAAGATCTCTCCCTCACTGCACACTGTCCAGCTGTGGGTCTGTTTATTTGTTCCCACACTACAGGAGGAAGCTTCTCTGATGATGGCTGAGCAAGACGCTGATCTATGAGGATAGCAGAATGTCATTAGGAGTCATTTTATTGCTACATTTCTGAAGAACAGTGTTTGGTTTTTCCCCTAGGTACTTAAGCTAGGTAGTCTCTAACCCGTCCAAGAAGTTTTGGCATGGGTTCCATCTCATGGGGTGGGCCTTAAATCCAATCAGATAGTGCTTGGTTACTCCAACAACTGTTGTGCTACTTTCATACCAGCGTATCTTGCAGGGTCATCATCGTATCACAGCTTTTGAGATATCATTAAAATACCATAGCCACCCATTTCAAGGCTCACTTCAGTGGTTTTTCAGTATACAGAGTTCTCCTGACGTATCCCCAAATCTGAGCACTCAGTATTCCAGAGCACCTCTTTCATGTTTCAAATCCAAATCAATAAAGTCATGAACAGGGATGAGGTGAGACTCCCAGAAAGACTGAACTGAAGGTAACAAGAAAGTTGGTAGAAAAACCTTACTGTAGTGGCAGCTAATTATGCAGACACAACTCTGATGTCACCTCTTCATCCACAGGCCAGGACCCAACCAGTCCCATCAGGACCACACACACAGGCCAGATACTGGGTAGCCTCATCCATATGAAGGGCCTTGATGTGGATGTCCACTCTTTCCTGGGAATTCCCTTTGCCAAGCCTCCTGTAGGACCACTGCGCTTTGTCCCCCCTGAGCCACCTGAACCGTGGAGTGGTGTGAGAGATGGGACCTCACATCCAGCCATGTAAGTTCTCCTGAGTCATTGAGTGCTGTGAACACTGGGCCAGACTTCCATGGTTTCTCATCTCAACCTCACAGCACTTTCCCACTGTACAGGGGGATTCCTGGGAGTATTTTCAGGAGAACTTTATAATATTAAGAGAGTACAAGGACTCTGTCAGCCTCTTAGTTCAAGACTTGTCAATGATCAGGCTCTTTCTAGTGTTCTCTAACATCCAAAAGAGGTTTGGGTTGACTCTCAGAACCTGTAAGATCCCCAGCTAACAACATCAGAAACAAGACCCTTGAAGAGAACAACTCCATGCAAACATCACATTCCACTGTCGCTGTGCCCTACGGGGCTAGATGTCTTTGGACAATAAATAAGTATTTATGTATGTCATGTACTTTCTTATTGCTGGGACAAAATTCATGGCAGAAGCAGTCTAGTGAGGAAGAGTTTATTTTGGTATATAATTCAAAGGTAATTCCCACCATGGTGAAAAGTCTTGGAAGCAGGAATTTGGGGTGGCTTGTCACATTGTGGCCTGACCCAAAGGAAGCAGAGAGAGGGGAGAAGGGGAGAGGGATGGGGGAGAGGGAGGGAGAAGGAGAAGGAGAAGAAAAGGGAGAGGGAGAGGGAGAGGGAGAGGGAGAGGGAGAGTGGGGGGGGGGGGGGGGGGGAGAGGGAGAGGGAGAGGGAGAGGGAGAAGAAGAGGGAGAGGGATGAGAGGGAGAGGGAAATGCTACCACTCAACTTGCTATCTCTTCCTCTTCAGTTCAGGGCCCCAGTCAATGGAATAGTACTGTCTGCTTCTAGGCCACGTCTTCCAGTCTCAAGTAATCTAACCTGGAAACCCACTCACAAACAAGTCTAGAGATTGGTTTCTGTAATGATTCTAAACCTCCTCAAGTTGACATTCAAGATGTCACAACGTGTTTTTAACCAGAATATTATGAAAGAGACAGGACCACAAGAGTCTGGACTTGGAATTAGGGAGGTTCTCAGTACTCTGTAGGAAACTAGTCTCCACTCATTCATAAACTCCAGTGTGACATAGCTGTCCTATTGCAGAACTGGTTGACTAAAAGGAGACATGGCCATTGTCAACACCTGCAATCAAAAGTTGTCAAAAGGATTCCTAAAGGTCATTATTCCCCACCCTCAGAAGGAGGATTCAAGCCTCTCAATAACCTTGAGGCTTTACTAGAAGTCTAGGCTCCATCTCAGCTTCTACAGAGCCTGACCTTGATGGTCAGGAACTTAGAGAAGGTCTGTGTGTAAGCAAGGCATCAGGAAGGGACGTACCTGTGGATATTTGAAAGCATATTTAATCTGAGGGTCTGTTGCTGGGCACCCTATGATCCTGGGCTGACTGTATGCATGGTTGATCACCAGGTGTCTGCAGGACATCACTGCAATGAATATGCAGGCCTTTAAGCTATTGAAGCTGACTTTGCCTCCCATCCCCATGTCTGAGGACTGCCTATACCTTAACATCTATACACCAGATCATGCCCATAAGGGTTCCAACCTGCCTGTGAGTGTCAAGCCATGCTCATTCGGGGGTAAGAGAACATTTCTTCTAGAGAAATACTAGATCAGATGCTGTAAACCCTAATGAGAAGTCCCTTCCTGAAATCCAACGTACATACCAAATGGTGTCTAGAGGATCCATCAGGTGCACAATGGCTGCACTTTGAAGACTTCAAAGACCTAAGCCATTATTTTTCATTTAATTGATGAGACTTACTAGCATTGTTTATTAATTTTTGTGTGACATAATGAAGATAATATCCCTATTATTTTCATCTCAAACATTTCTGGGACTAATAAAGTCAGGCTTTGATTCTGGAGTGGACTCCAAACAGAGAACAGTGTGTCCATGTCTGCACTTGCACACCTCACTCATAGCATCTGTCTATGCAGGCAGTTGCTCAAGTCGTACTGACTCTGAAGGGAGGCGCAGATGGGCTATATGAGAGACACATGACACTTGTCTTGATTTCTTCAGGTGATGGTGTGGATCCATGGAGGCTCACTAGTTATAGGCATGGCTTCATTGTATGATGGCTCCATGCTGGCAGCCATGGAGAATGTAGTGGTGGTCACTATCCAGTACCGCCTAGGTGTCCTGGGCTTCTTCAGGTAAGTCTGGAGCTAGACTTGGCAATGGGGCCTAAGTTGAATAAGGACAACCCTGTGATTCCTGTCCTTGCTACCTCTCAGCTCGGGAGACAAGCATGCCAGAGGCAACTGGGGATTCTTGGACCAAGTGGCCGCCCTACGCTGGGTCCAGCAGAACATTGCCCACTTTGGAGGCAATCCTGACCATGTCACTATTTTTGGCGAGTCAGCAGGAGGCATAAGCGTGTCTTCACATGTTGTATCCCCCATGTCCCAAGGACTTTTCCACGGTGCCATCATGGAAAGTGGGGTGGCCCTGATGTCGAGCCTCATCTCAACATCTTCTGACATAGTCTATAGAGTGAGTGCCCTTAACCACCCCAACCCTGAGCTGTTGCCTCAGCTCTCCCCCTTAGAAACTCTGGTTCTCCATCTGACCAATGTGTACAAGGACTATGGAGGTAACTAGGCAACTGCCTCACGTACAGGAATTTCTGAAGGACTAAAGATCAGAACCTACCCCCTCTCTGTCTCATGGCTGTGTATCCCATAAAGCTGTATGAGGGAATTGCAACATTATAAGCAGAAGTTCATCATCAGGTATGACTGAAGGAAACAGAAACAATTTCACACCAGCCACAATCTACATTTGAGGGACATCTGAACCCAAGTGGGGACCTTAGAACAAACCCTTCCCTGGCTGGAAGGATGAGTCATCCCCTGCCTGATGCTTTTATAGACGGTGGCCAACCTGTCTGGATGTGAGCAGGTGGACTCTGAGACCCTGGTGAACTGTCTCCGAAGCAAGAGCGAGGATGAGATTATGGCTATTAACAAGGTTGGTCTGGATGGTAGGATAGAGGGGCAATAAGATGTAAGGCAGCTTGCCTTAAGTAGCCTTCAACTCCCCTGGATACTGTCTTCATTCCAACCTTCATAACCCAGAGCTCAGGTAGAGATCTGAAGACCAGGGATTGGTAAGTCAGCTGTAGGACCTCATAGAGTGTGTGTGACAATCCTGGGATGAGACAGTCAGGAGTGGGGAAACTATGGCCTGACATCAGAATTGTCGAGGACCTAACCTTTCCCCCAACAATGTCCTTTCAGGCCTTCAAGATCATCCCTGGTATAGTGGATGGTATCTTCCTGCCCAGACATCCTCGGGAGCTGCTGGCCTCTGCTGACTTTTACCCTGTCCCCAGCATTATCGGTGTCAACAATGATGAGTACGGTTGGATCATCCCCTCGGTGAGGCTCGGGTCCGAGGCCTTTGGTCTCCAGGAAGCCTAACCTCTCACTCTCTGTGATCTTGACTACAACACAGACTCCCCTCTTACTACTTAGAGCATGAGCACCACTGACTCCAAGAAGGAGATGGACAGACAGATGGTGCAAGCTATCCTGCAGAGGAGGGCAGCCCAGATGGTGAGGCTTCTGGGGTACTGTAAATAACAAACACAGAGGGCTCCATTGTATCCTGATCGTGCAACGAACTGCAGGAACAAAGGCTGAACTGTGATGGTGCTTGTGGGTTGAGTGTCCCCAGAACCCTGCCCTCTCTTGATTTAACTCGTCCCATGCCAGGCCCTACTCTCCATCCGGAGGCAGTGGCCTCACTGTCCCCAGAATCTATCTAATATGGCTCTCCCTGACCCCTCTGGGCTAGATGTGGCCTCCTGAAGTTAGTGACCTGCTGATGCAGGAGTACATGGCAGACAATGAGGACCCTCAGTTTCTCAAAGTGCAGTTCAAGGAGATGATGCAAGACTTCACCTTTGTGGTGCCTGCGCTGCAAGTAGCACAATTTCAACGTGAGTATATGTGGAACTGAGGCCTGATACCTAAGGGCAGCTCAGAACTGCAGTGCCCAGTCGAGCTCTGGGGTGTCCATACCCCCACCCATGTCTCTATATTGGACCGCCAATAGCAGATACTTCATGTCTCCCATCTAAGTAAATTTTTGGGACTTGTCTAAGAGATAGGAAGCTTCCAAACTTTACTGATGTAGAAAGTAGGTGGCAATGACATCATAAGGCCATATAGCAAAGATTTCCAAGACCTTGATTTAACCAAGCCCCTCCCTTGACTCCCACTCCAGCCTGGAGTTTCACACTTCACTACTCAGATTCTGTCCAGCTTTGGCCCCAGATGCAACTAGCTATCTTGTCATCATGGTTGAGAAAGGACATCCCCAGGGGAGAGTCCACTTTCTCAGCCTGTCCTTGCCTCCAGGTTCCCACGCCCCTGTCTTCTTCTATGAGTTCCAGCATCGGCCCAGCTTCTTCAAGGACTCCAAGCCACCCCATGTGAAGGCTGACCATGGTGATGAGATTCTCTTTATCTTCAGATCATTTTTGGGAGGCACCCAAGGTGAGGGATCCTTATTCCCCAAGGATCCAAGCCCCTCAGGCATGCTCAGATGGGGAAACTGAGGTTCAGAGAGCAAAGACATTGTGGTTTGTGTACCATGATCACAAAAGGCTGATGTGAGACTAGACACTCAGGCCCCTCTTACTCTTGCCTGTTTCCTCCAATTATTGCTACCTGTGTGGGCCATGGAATCAGGCATGGTGGTGTGATGGGTTGTTTTACAGCACTTGCCTATTTGCTTGTTTTGATTTTTTCAGACAACTTTGTCCGTATAACCCGTAATGAATTGGGAGTTCTCCTATCTCAATCATTCTGAGTGCTGACATTAGAGGCAAGCACTATGACTCCCAGTATGAGAAGGGTATTCTAAAGGCATGGTTATTCCTTAGATAACTTCCTTTCATCGGAAGAAAAGAAGACATTCTGGGGGATAAATGAGCCAGAGGGAGTAGAAATTAGAGGCTGGGATGAGTGAGACAGAATGTGCAGGTGCAAGGAGTGGATTCTGGGTAATAGGAGGGAAGAGGGAAGGAGGGGAGGAGCAGTGTGGGGTAGGAAAGGTAAGAGAATGGAAGGGAAAGGAAGGGAAATGGAGGGGAGGGAAAGGGAAGAGAGGGGATGGGAGGGGTACAGGTGGGGAAGGGAGAGAAGGGGAGGGGAGGGAGGGATGAAGAGGGATGGGGAAGGAGAGGGAAGGGAGGAGAGAGATGGGGAGGGATGGGGAAGGGGAGGGAAGGGAGGAGAGGGATGGGGAGGGATAGAAAGAGATGAGAAGGGAAAGGGGAGGGAAGGGGAGGGATGGGAAAGGGAGGGATGGGGAGGAAATGGGGCGAGGAAGGGGAGGGAAGAGAAGGGGATGGAAGGGAAGAGGAAGAAAAAAAAGGGAAAGGGAAGATGAGAGGAAGATGAGGGGAAGGGTTGGGGAAGAGAAGGGAGGGGACCATTCTGAGGCTGCTGGGATGGTGGAGTGAACAGTTGCATGAGAAGCAGGAGTCTGAACCCTTAATTTCTTTCTCTCTGCAGTTGACCTCACTGAGGAGGAGGAGCTACTGAGCAGGAGGATGATGAAGTACTGGGGCAACTTTGCACGACAGGGGTAAGAACATGCCCCTCCCTTAACCTTTAAGGAGCTGATTGACATTCAGGGCCTGCCTTGTGGGAACAAGACAATATAATAAGTTCTTTTTGTTTGCCTACATCAGTACATCCGCCTCTAAGTTCCCATAATTCCCTAACTGCTTAGTCCATATGATACAAGTTCAGCAGAGCCTAAAGTAACCTTTGCTCTCCCTGCTGGGAGGATGTGTCCACAGGAACCCCAACAGTGAGGGTCTACCCCACTGGCCTGTGTTTGACCAAGATGAGCAGTATCTGCAGCTGAACACCCAGCCTGCTGTGGGCCGAGCCCTGAAGGCCAGAAGGCTGCAGTTCTGGACCAAGACTCTACCCCAGAAGATCCAGGAGCTAAAAGATACTGAGGACAGACATACAGAGTTGTAGCACCCTGTGTTGAGTTGTAGTTTGTCCTGAGTGCAGGTGGGCTTATTCTGAACTTTCCAAACACCTTAAAAAGAGATGTGGGATCCACATTTTTACATAGTCATTAGGTCCATACACTCAACAATTACGAAGTTTCCCCTACAGGATGTATGTTCCTTGCTAAGCCTGACATGGGTTGCTTCTATTACATACAACAAACATACAAGAGACTATGGATGGGTGAGTTCCAATTGACAATACCTTCCTTCAGGCTACAGTAGACACGGCCCCTCCATCCATCCCTCGCTCCCTTCTGCCCATCTCCTTTCCTCTCCTCAGGCCCTCAACTACAAGTGTTGTCCCTGAGGAGAATCTTACTAATCTTGGTGACCGAATCTGTTTCTCACGTCTCATAAATTCTCCTGTATTCTAATAGATAGGGACAAACTTAAAAATCAGATACTAAAATCCGTGAGAGTTCATTCTAGGGTTCTCACACAGTTATCGCAATGGGGTGTCTTCAACACAACAGAATTTTTTTCCCACTGTGTGTTCTGGAAGCTGCAAGTTCTGGTGATGGTGGCACCAATATGATATCTAACATATCTCATATGGCACCATATGATATCTCTGACTCACAGGTAGCACGTTTCCCTTCCCGCCACAAACCTGCAGACAAGCTCCCACTGGCACAACTCATATGAGCCTCATGTAAGCCTATCTTCTATTGTTACAACAAAAGATCTGAGCCAGATACACAGAGTTTCTGAGCTAGCAAGCCAGTTCATCAGTGAAGGATGCCTGCCACCAAACCTCACAGGAATCTGATCCCCAAGACCCACATGGTAGAAGGAGAGAACTGACTTCCCAGGTTGCCTTCTGACTTTCACATATGCTCAGTGGTTCACCTGGGACACTGATGAAAACATGCTGGACTGTCTCACAGCACAGCAGAGAGCAGAAAGGGAAATGGCCCAGTAAGAGAGAAACACAGGGCCACCCCTGCTGCTTAACAGCCTGACCCCAGGGGCTTACTGGAACTGCACTAATCCCTGTGAAGAGCAGTGACATCAGGACTAATTACATGCCGTAGGTCCCACCTCATAGAGAGTCCATCACTTCTCATAGTTTCCATGGTGGGTTAAGGCCTCTCTAGCCCATAAGAACCTTCAAAAAACACACATTATCTAATCGTAAGCATAGTACCAACTCCATTCCTGAGGATTTTTCCCCTCGTGGTGGAGCTCACCTCACACAGACTCCTCTGGGCCGGTTTAATGTCAACCTGACACAACCTAGGAGTTACCTAAAAAGAAGGAATCTCAATTGAGAAATTGCCTCCAGAAAATTCTGCTGGAAGGTATTTTCTTAATTAGTGATTGATGGGGGCAGGCCCAGCCCATGACTCGTGGTGCCATCTTTCGGCTGGTGGTCCTGGAATCTCTAAGAAAGCAGGTTGAGCAAGCCATGAAGAACAAACAAGTCAGCAGCACCCCTCCATGACCTCTGCATCAGCTCCAGAGGCCTCCAGGTTCCTACCCTGTTTGAGTTTCCACCCTGACTTCCTTTGATGATGAACAGTGATGTGGAAGTGTAAGCCAAATAAACCTTTTCCTCCCCAGCTTGCTTTGGCCATGATGTTTCATCTCACCAATAGTAATTCTAACTAAGACACCCCTCTTAACGTCAAAATAGTGGAGATTTGGTTTGCACATAGTAATGGGGGCAGAGACTACAGGCACAGTGGTCACTAATTATGGGAAATGTAAAGGCTCCAGGCCTTCTCTATTGTCCCTGAAGGTTGAAGGCCACCTATCATTGGCACTTAAAGCAATATAACCCTCCATTTTCAGTGTGACACACCCCTGTAGCTGTAACCCTTGCACTAAGGAAGCTAGGCAGGAAGGTCACCATCCCAGATCAGCCAGGTGACATATCAAACGCTGACTCCAAATAAATAAATATGGAAATCTGTCCCCTTCTATTTCTGCACAAAATGGTGATTAGATTCATTTTTGTGAGACACAGCATTAGGTATGCACACAGGATGCTGACTCCTGAACCACACTGCAAGTGAGTGTGGAGAAGGCCCAGGCAGGTTCCTTATGTTCTGTCTTTTGAAGTTACACCAGTGTGGTTTGGTCTGCAGACACTATGAGACACTGTGAAGACACTTGACCATTGCACATCTACAAAAAGGGTCATCTGTGAGACCCTCCTTGGATGTGGGGTGGTGGTGAAAAACAGGAGATCCAGACAAATAAAGGAACAGAGGTTCCCACGCCCTGACTCCTCGGAGGCCTATTCATCAGAGAAGTACCTTCCTGCCCTTCACAGTCCCCCCTGCAACCTCTGGACCATCTGACCATCTCCCACTTGTGAGGGCATCCATGTAACGCCATGTTGTTGTCCCTAAATATTCCTTCTTCCCACCAATCAACACCTCCATCCCTCTCTTGTTTGACTAACCCCACCCGGTCCCGCCACCTCTACCGCCCCCACCCCCATGTGTGCAGAAGCATGTGTACTAGCTCTTGCAGGCACGAGTTAAGGCCAAAAGTTGATACTAGGGTGTCTTTCTCAATTATTTCCACTTACTTTTTTGAGACAGGATCTGGGACTGAACTTGAGTCTCACAGATTTACCTAAGCTGGCTATCACATTAGCACCAGGCTCTGCCTTTCCTCACTTCTCTCCACCGAGGTTACGTGTTCCCACCACCATGCCTGGCATATGTCTGGCTTTTATATGAGTACAATGGGTCTGAACCCAGATATCCACGCTTGTTCAGCAAGCTTTACTCTAGCCCCTCTCCCCCAGATCTGGCTACTTTTTAAGACTTAATTACTTTATGTATATGAATCTTTTGCCTGAATATGTGTTACATGTTTGGCTATTTTTAATAAAGCTTTATGGATACTTATACACATGATACACATGACTTTACATAATCACATGCTTTCAATTTTAGAGTTCAGACCTAGGGATGAAGCGCTGAGTCATGGGGAAAACTTGTTGAGCCTTTAGAGAAATTTCAAGGCGAGAAGTCAGCTCGATGGTAGAGAGCTTGCCTAGTATGTACAAAGGCCTGGATTCAATCCCAGCACCACCAAAAACAAATATAAAGCCAAATTAGGTGGCATAGGCCTACAATCCTAACAACTCAGAGGTTGCAAGGCACAAAGATTGCAAGTTAAGACCTGCCTGAGCTGCAGAGCAAACTACAAATCATCCGATATACTTTATGAGACCCTGTGTCAAAATAAAAACAGACAAAAGACAGAAAGGTGTTGAAATTAGAGCTTGTGGTGGAACACTTGGCCAGCATGTGTCCAATCCCCAGAATTAGAAACACATAAAAAGGGGGCAAATAAGGAAAGAAAAGAAAATGTTGAATCACCTCCAAATGACCTTCTCACACCAACCATGTGTCAAAGATGTCAGTTGCTTTGTGTCCTCACCAAAACTTAAACTAGTGAACCTGAAATATTATTACATTGGATAGGTATGGACTGCTGGTTGTAGATGTTTTCCTAGATTTTTTAAATATCTGCTTCTGGAGAGGAAGAGGGAGGAGAGGGAAAGGGAGAGGGGGAGGGGGAGGGGGAGGGAGGGGGAGGGGAGGGAGGAGGGGAGGGAGAGGGAGAGGGGGAGGGGGTGGGAGAGGGAGGGAGAGGAAGAGGGAGAGAGGGAGAGGGAGAGAGGGAGAGAGGGAGGGAGAGGGAGAGAGGGAGAGAGGGAGGAGAGGGAGGGGGAGGGGGAGAGGGAGAGAGGGAGGGAGGGAGAGGGAGAGAGGGAGAGAGGGAGGAGAAGGAGGGGGAGAGGGAGAGGGAGAGGGAGAGAGGGAGAGAGGAAGGGAGAGGGAGAGAGGGAGGAGAGGGAGAGGGAGAGGGACAGGGAGAGGGACAGGGAGAGGGAGAGGGACAGGGACAGGGACAGGGACAGGGACAGGGACAGGGACAGGGACAGGGAGAGGGAGGAGAGGGAGAGGGAGACCAAGACAGATACAGGGATAGACATATGTTACTGTGGTATCTCTTTACTTCAAGAGAAGATTTATTTTTGTCATACTTTGGAAGCCTTTCAGTTCACTCTGGCATGAAAGACAAGGTGCTCCATGCAAAGCAGCAGGAGCATACGATACCAAGCCCTCACTTGGCAGCAGATCAGAAAGAAGAGAAAACCAGAACAGAACTGGGGCAGGTACAACTTTCAAAGGTCAGTGTCTTCGGGTTTCCATTGCTTTGATGAAAAAACATGACCAAAGCAACTTAAGGAGAAGGGGTTTGTTCTGTTTACACTTCCACATCACAGTTCGTCACTAAAGGAAGTCACAGCAGAAACTCAAACAAAGCAGGAACCTGGAGATAGGAGTTGATGCAGAGGCCATGGATGGGTGCTGCTTCCTGACTTGCTCAGTCTTGCTTTCTCATAAGACCCAGGACCACCTGCCATGGGTTAGGCCCTCCCCCTTCAATCACTAATTAAGAAAATGCCCTACAACTGGATCTTATGGAAACATTTTCTCAATTGAGATTTCCTCAATTCCAGGTGACTTTAGTTTGTGTCAAGTTGACATAAAAGCATCCAACACAACTTGGCCCTAGAGAATGACTTGCACTGCCACACTTTACCTTCTAAGGGGTCCACCGCCTTCAAAATAGGGTCCCAAGCTGGAGTCCAAGTGTTCAAAACATATTTTCAAAACTCTACAGGGACATTCAAATTCAAACCAAAAGAATGTATAGCACACAAACACACACGGATGTGTATGTATACTGTATGTACATGCGTGTAAACATGTATGTAAGAATGTAAATATACACAGATATACACAGAAATATGCTCTTGGAAGGGCTGGTGAGATGGCTCATCAGGTAAAGGCATTTGCACAAGCCTGATGATCTGAGTTCAATCCCTGGGACCTACAGTGGAAGAGGTAAGTTCAAAATAATTGTCCCTGACCACCATACCTACATCTATGCATACCTACATGCATACATGGACATGGACACATGCACACACACACACTGTATCACACATAAACAATAAATGTGACTCTTTCTTTCTGAATTTCTAAATTCAAAACTCCACCAAGCTAATGGATGAATTTATAGATATATATGACCTACCAAAAGTAATCTCAAATTTTATATGGAAACATGACCCAGGATAGTCCAAACAATATTAAAACAATAAAAACACTGTTGGGCATCATAGTTCCTGATTCCAAGTTATAGTTCATAGCTATAGTAATAACAACAGCATGATACTGGCATGAAAATAGACACATTGATCAACAGAACAAAATAAACCCACGCTCTTACAGCCCCCTGAATTTTGACAAGAGGACAAAATACACATTAGAGAAAAGATGGTATCTCCAATAAATGCC